AATAATTAAAAAAATTCTATAATTCACGCGCGAAGAATCGTAAAATCTCTAAAAAAAAAATTCCACAAAAGAACTTTTTTACAAAAGAAAAAAATCATCAAAATTTCCCTGATCTTTCTAATAAAAAAAAAAAAAAATTCTAAAAACTACGTCAAAAGGAAAAAAAAAATAAATCAAGAATTCTACAACAAAGTCTCTCTCTCCTCGCGGGGGAGGAGGGTTGTTTCCTCCCCAATGGTCCCTTTTATCGAACGGTTTGTCGCGTTTTGATCGTACGCGCCCCAGGCGACGGGCCATTCACTTTCGTTTCGTCGGGGTGGTTGCACGATGCGTCGCGCGAAGGGTAGAGGGTTGAAGAGGGCCGCGCAGCCGCGTTGACCGTTGTCCACCCGGTGGATCGCGGATTATCCTCGCACCTGCACGATCGAGAGGACGAGAACGTGTGAACGTGGGAAGAGGGTTGGCAAATTGGTGAATCCAGTTGGAAAACACTAGCAGCCAAGATAAGGGGATCACGAGTCGCGAACGGGGAGTCCAGTGAGTATTTCCATCCCCTTTCAGAGAGGGCGGTGAATTTTTATTGCCGTGAAAAGAAAAAAAAATGGTGTTGGTTGAAAGAAATGTTTATCGAAGAAATATGAAAAATAAAATTATTGCTTTTGGAATTATTGGCAAGGATGGTTGATTTTTTTATTGAAATTTTGATCGAATGGATAAATTGTCAGCTGTTAAGATAACTTTTAATTAGTCTCTGAGTAAAATAATAATTCAAATTCTTGGCAACCTTGTGGGTTGAATTGAAATAAAAAAGAAAAATTATTCAAATGTCGTTTAAAGTTGGGAAATAACCACGTCCTTGTGGTTAACCACAAGAAGTTGTATTAAAGAGAAACATCTATAGTTATAATTTAATAGTTTCTTTCCTTCATCTGGAATCGTCGATTAGGGGCAGAGAAACAAAGTAGCAAATTGTACTTACAAGTTGGAGGAAACGGAAAGAGCAAGCAGGTGTTCAATGTAAAGTACTCCGTTGCATTATTAATGAACCGGGATCCTCGTGACAATCTCTACCGATCGATACTTTCGAACGTGTTTTCCCTATTGCGCCTGGGTTTTATTAAAAATTAATCTCACGCCGTGTCAATTTATAATTCATAATCCAAATATATTTATAATCGCACATTCCGTTACAAAACATCGAAATTACAAATTCTTTGCGTATTCTCTCGATTCAAACTCGTTCAAACAACTTCAAACCTCGAGCAATTTCCATTATTTATCAATAATTCTCAAATCTATTCCCCAAAATCACCACGAAACAATTCCAATCTCGATTCAAACCCTCTCAAACAACCTCAAACCACGTATTCCACGAACGATGATAAACAGCGATAAACAAGCGACGCGAAATATCGAGTCGCATAAACGCGGCAAGTCGCAACGTAATCGATAACACAATATTGTGACGTATATGTGCATAAAGTCCAGCCTGTGAACCGTTCTGCAAACCACCCTGAGCCGGAGAAACTGTTCAACAAGTCGAGGCCAGCGATCCTGGCATTGACACTACTAAGCCACGTGCTGTATTATTTAACGCGTCCACGATCAATGATGGTTTTCTTATGGATCGAGTGAACCGTAACTTTTCCATCGTATTTCCGCGATGGCGGCGCACTTGGCCGAGCCCGTTCGAAGAATAGGCTTGGACTTGTTGAGCTGATCGCAATAATCTTCGGATAATACAAATCCGGCAGGATGCTGGACCGTTTTAGAGCCGCGTTCAAGTGTTCTGTGCCGAAATGTGGCAATTTCCGGTTTCCAGGGATGGAGAAGCCCGAATCCTCGACCGGGGATGGGAGCAATGGAGAACTCGAGGACAGGGATCCGAACAGTTTGAACAAACATCTGCAGGTATGTTGAAAATATCGATTTCTTGAGAATTTTAATTTTTTTTTTAAAGAGAATTTATTATATAAGAGTGAAACACGCGAATTTGTATAAAAATGAATGACCTTTTAATGACATTTAAAAAAAATATTTTTACTATTTTTTTTAAATATTTTTTATATATTTTTATTTGCTATAATTCTAAAAATTATCTAAAGTACTGTGTATGTAATGTAAATTTTTACGAACGAATCGTCGTAAATATAATAAAAATTAAATTCTATCCATGAAATATTTGCTTGGTTGAAAAAATATCGAGCGTCACTATTGTGTTGGGATACAGGTGATGTGGGATGACGTGATCGGTGAACCGGAAGGAATACGCAGTCCAGAGTGCGCGTGGCGATTGAGCGGACACTGCTTTCGATTGTCCAGAAGATGTTGTTACGTGTTCCTCTCCGTCCTGATCGCCCCTTTTCTCTCTCTCTGCCTAGGCCTCACCTTCGCCTGCCTCGCGTTTCAGGTGAGTCGACGACCTTTTTCTCGATTTATGCCCGATCGATGCTGTTCCTAACCTCTCTGCACAATAACGAGCAACGTTACAACGATCGTTACGATTATTCTCGACTTGTTGCAAATGTAGGTCGTCGCTTTGTTGCCAAACTTCAATTTGGAAGAGAATTTTTTTTCTTACTAATTTGAATTAAATTCAAGCCTAACCTAATTCAATCTCAATACAAATCTATATCACATTTATAATTCAAATCTAATCCAATTCTAATTTAAATATAATATTACAATTTATTATTATAAAAATAACGTTCGATTGGAAAACGAATTAAATGGATACAAATTTTTAGCATATTTGGTGTTTGGCACCGTGTCTCCGCGTTTGGAAAATCACTTGTGCCGCGACGAGGAATTTCCTTAGCGTTGTCACGCAAGCCATCGTGCGTCCCATCATGGAGTCCCTTGGCTATCTGTTTCACAACATTCGGATATTCAACAAGAAATTGCCCGATGGTCCTGTGGAGAAAGACGATATCCTCGTGGTGTAAAATCGATAAAGTTTTATCAAGTGCCTTTCGAATCGATCGATAATGATCACCATGAATTATTGTATCTTTTTCCTCTTTTTCCAGTAACAATTTAACAAGTTTTTCACATTTCTATTCCGTGATTGCAATTTTAATTGTTTACGGTGTAGAATTGTCAGTAGTGAAAAATACTGGTTAATCTTTGATTATATTATATATTTCATTAAAATAATAATATATATATATCTATTGTTATAAATTTTTGTAAATAAAATACATTCTAAGAACTATTGTTGTGAATATTATTTATCAGTTAATTATATAAAATTCATGTTTTCAAATTTTTTTACAACCATGATATTACGATTTAAAGTTTAAATCTCTTTTTATTGGATGAATTAATGGTGCTATTTCTTATTAGATACGTTACTGATATCATACGTATAAATTTATATATAAATTGGATTCTGACGAAACAATTTAATAAAACAAATAAGAAACAAGGAGAACAAATCGAGGTATCAAGTTTACCACTCTTATGCGAGGTCAAATTAGCACGAGATAAGATGCGACTCGCCAAGATCAACTTAGTTTTCTGTCGACTAGGAACATGGCAGCCCTCACGAGAAGATTTCTATCGAAATACAATGGATTTTCTTGTACAAGTTTGAGACGTATCCTTTTTTTATTTCATACCGAGAGAAAAAGATCGCCATCTATAACCTTTCTTTTACAAATACAAATAGATTTTATCTTTGATTATACGTATTTTTTAAAAAGCACATGTCATCTGATTTATTTACTATTATTATTCTTATCAATGATTCATTCAAATTATCAGAAATTTCACTATCATCTACTGGCAGAGATAAAGGTAAGTTTTTAACGATATTTTTTAATGATATTTACTTCGCTTTTCACCTAAAATGCTGTATCGTTTATAAGTTTTCCAATTCGCTACTAGATGGCACCATGTATCGATCATCGAGCGCCACGTGTTTCGAATACAATCACGCTAAATTTAATTTTTCTTTTTATTCAAAATAACAATTTGTCTTAACTATCCAATAATCCAAAACTAATAAATCTCATTCTGAATTTTTTAATTTTATCAACAGTTAACAACGCCTTCAACTGGGAAGATCCATTCAATCTCGAGTCTCAACTGACATACGAGGAGATATTGATCAGAGATCAGTTACGAAACTATTGTGGCGAGAAACTTTTGCCTCGAGTAATCGAAGCGAATCGCAATGAAATCTTCCACAAAGAGATAATGAGGGAAATGGGCGAGTTGGGCATCCTATGCTGTACCATAAAGGGTTATGGGGCCGCTGGTGTCTCCTCCGTGGCGTATGGGCTTATTGCAAGGGAAATCGAGTACGTGGACAGCGGATACAGATCCGCTCTGTCGGTACAAACGTCTTTGGTTGCCGGTGCGATTGACGCTCATGGAAGCGATGCACAAAAAGAAAAATTCTTACCGAAATTAAGTACGTTTCCCTTAACATCTCAATTAAATTGATCCTCCAATAAAATTACTGGAATAATTTAATAATTTAATCCACGATTCGAATCCAACCTCTAAAATTCTATCTATTCGTTTCAAGTATCGGGCGAGTATATCGGCTGCTTCGGATTAACAGAGCCCGACCACGGAAGCGATCCCTCTTCCATCGAGACCAGGGCGATTTACGATTCCAAAAAAAAAGTTTACAAATTGTCTGGAATCAAGATATGGTCGGTTCTTTTTTATATATATTATTACTTATATATATTATTATATTATTTATATATATATATTCTTCAGAATAATTCTAAAAAAAAAAAAAAAAATCTCCATCCTCTTCTCAATCATCTTTCC